GACGAATGGCTATATTGCGCTGTTGACGATCGAGCATGTATGCAGAAGCTGGAGCCAGAAATGGCAAAACGGTTTCGGGAAAAGCGTAGTCTAACAATACAAGAGCAAGAAGATCCAACAACGCACCACAAGTCTCGTCAAAACAATCTGCCATATACTCTTCAAGAGTTTGTTCGTTTTTTAAAAGATCCACCTCGTCAAACACAGATGTATTTAAAAGTACAAATAGACACGATAAAAGGTGCTGCACACTCTTGCATGACTGGAGTGTTTTTCTGGAATTTGAGCAGTCAGGACTGATTGAAAATCGAGACACAGTGCCAGCACGGCGTTTTTGAGGAGAACTGGGCACACTTGCTCCACCAAAAGTAACAAGCTCTGGCATGTAACTCATTAAAGGACTATCAAAGTTGGAACTGTGTTCATCATTTGCGCTACTTTGGTTTGAATTTATCGCAAGATTCGGAAATGCCAACTCCAAACATTCTGCAACCTTGAGTGGCAATCGCTGAACCAGTGGACGCACCGTAAATACTGTAATTTGAAACCGAAGACTCGGGTCTAGTGCATTCAGTGTAAACAAAATTATAATACAGTAAATAGGTTAATAAAAATACTCTGTTAAAAAGAAGCATGTTATTCAATTCAACACATTAAAACGTAATACCTTTGACAGCAATGGTAAGGAGTGCCTTTACAGCAACAAGTTGATTGGAAAGAATATAATTGCTGTTGAGATATGAGTCAAGAATCTCAATTCCATTTAATTCTGCAATCTGTTGACATAATTGATCTAAATGGACATCCAGTTTAGTTGCATTCGTACATAAAAGATACAGCATACATTCATGCAGTTTGACACATACTTGAAAGTGTAGCAGCATTTAGCATCAATGCCGCGCCTGCATACTGGATTTCGGAATCTGTTGAATGGCAAAAGCTAATAATCAAATCAACCATTTTAGAATTTGCCAACCGGGTCTGATTTGACGCTATTCAGCAAAACATACGAGTACAAAATGGTTAGAGTATCTCTTGTCCGTAACCGTGTAAATAACTGGAAAAGGCAAGGCGAGTCTACCATTTCCACAAAGATACACTAGCATATCGGCAATATACAGCAAAACGTGATGAGGAGCAGCTTTGGCTGCATGGGTTAGTGTATCCAGTCCCCCACAATCAAGAAAAGTCTTGTGAATCTCCGCTATTATTTTTAAATAGAATACCAATAAAACAGAATAATCAGCTATGCAAGTTGGTGGATCATAAAATATAGACATTTTGGCAAACTCACACTTGCTTGTCAACTCATGCATGACAGCCTGAAATAGAAAATACAACAATCAAATCATTAGTGCTACACATGGCAGTCATCATTCACATACAATACTTTTACCATTGCCCAATACTGTGCTTCTGAATCTTTGGACTCAAGTGCTGCAATCATTGGAGGAAGAAGCTTTGCACGGACTAAATCCCGCTGAAACTTGACTGGAGCATTTTTAATCAAAACCAACATGCATATCAGCGTTTGTAAAAAATCCACAAAATAAGCTTTGACAAGGCCAGTCAACTCAACATACTGTTTTCGGAACAAAGACACTTGATGATTCTAAGAGTAATGCGCGCAATCACAGTCTCGTTATTTGCCAAGCACATTGAAAAGGTCTTGAACAAACCATTTATTGCTAGAATGCGATCTTTAGCAATATCTGAAATTCATAAAACGTGTTTAATTCAATTGCCTGTTGATTGAAAACCACAAAACAGTTTACACTGTTACTACCTTTTACAGCAAACTCGTGAAGTAGAAAAACAGCCCAGGAAACAAGTTCAACATCATCTGTGAAAAATATTAGTAGTGATGCCATGCATCTAATTTCTTGGTTCAAACCATACAGCAAAGCTTACCATGTCTAAGACACGCTGCAATGATATGGATCATTTTCATTTCAATAAGTATTGAAAGTTGTGCAGGAGCCTCTATTGATAGTAAAATGTTGGAATCTGATTCAATGCAACATGTAATGGAGTAAATTTGATCACGTTCAAAACCTTTCAATTGAATACAGACCTTCAGCAGGAAGACTTGATACAAGGCGAACAAGTGAGTGCAAGCATAATTTTTGCATACTCGTATTTCCGAAAATCAATCTCGCAACTCGAGCAAGAAGCTCGATAACGTTGTGCTTTACCATAATAAAATGCATATCTTCACTGATGGATATCTGATGAAGCAGCAGCAATGCCCAGTATTTCAGATCGCTATTTAGTTTTGGAGTAGCTGAAAGAAAATGAGTCAAAGGCCCTAACACTCCATACTGTACAATCTTGTGCTTGCTTCGCTCTATTTAAAAATTTGTATGAATATCCCAATTCAAGAAAATTATCCTAAACAAGAATCATATATACTCTTACCATCATTTGTAATAAGCGAAAAAATGGCACTGATGGCGTATCGCCTAGTGTCGTCATTGGTTTGGAAATTAAGAGATCGGACCAATATTTTAAGAGCCTTCATGCGAATAAGAACTGGACGGTTTTCCTCTAAATAATTGAAATCATGTGGCATTAATTGCTACAACTTCCTAGACAATCTGAATACAACAAATCTAAAATAGACTGTGAATCAGAAACCTACCATCTTGTGCAAGTTGCTGTACTGCATGAATGCCCATTCGAAGCATAATGGGATCATGTTGAAGAGTACAAGCTTTAAGAATATAAGGCAAGTGCTCTCCTGATT